TTGGAGTTGTTGTTAGCCTCCCCTATTTTCCAAGTGTTTGCTGGCGGGGCTAGGTGAAGTGTAGGAGTACGTCGGTCGGGAACTAAATTCAGATCACATGTGTGTGGTTGGCTAATATTTCTACTAGTGCAGTATCGATGAATACATTTAAACTCTCTTATTCTATCAGAATACACTTGCATTCTTTATATTTATGTATGTATATTCCTCTGAAGAAATCTTATTGACTTTGTAAAAAAAAAAATATAAATACATATATATGATTTGGTTTTACTTTTGTTTTATAGTGTTTATCGTTTGATTGAGTGGCGTAAAGGTAGACGAGGAAAGGTTCAGTTTAAATTCAGTCTGACAGAACACAATCTTAGTTGTTTTCTCCTATTTACTTTCTTTCTTATTCTGGAAAAATTAGCCTTATGAAATTGAAGACAGCGAGACTAGAAATATTGAACAGGGTAATATGAAATAATACGTTAGTTACTTGTCAACATCATGACAACTTAAAACAGTTACTCAAGTATTGGTTTGTAGGGATTTGGTTGACTGGTTACAGGATTTCATCATGAGCTGGCATTGGTTAGAGAACCATTGGAAAACCTACATGGAGTAGTGCCAAACAGCTGTCTCGTCAGGCTAGTTTGGGACTCTTCATCAGTACGCACCCACTACGGGAGGTTAGAACCCCGGACCTTGTGGTCACAAGACTAGCAATCTCGTATACGATTAAGCCACTGGGACCCGAGCTGGTCCTCACACCCGACCTGGTGTACCCTGGGAAGTCTAGACCAATGGGATACAGCCGATTGAATGTGAGGGCAAATACTCCCTCTCGATAACACTAGCTAGTGGTCATGTTATATCGTGAATTGGCAGGAGTTGGAATTCATCAGCTGGCCATTGCATCGGGTCTCAGTGGCTTAATGGTCTACGAACTCGCTAGTCATGTTGTAACATCAGAAGACAAGGGCCAGGCAACAGATCGTTTACTGAGGAAATCAACACATATTTTCAGGTACATTATTATAGATTATTTAAGCAAAAAAACATAGTCCTCTGATTGGTTGTTTCTCACTGAAAGTTAATCTTTCATCTCTTTGTGACTGTTTCTTGAATGTCAGATCATCTATATGCTAATTGTATCCGCCTACGCAGTCTTTGTTTTCATTTTTCTCACGACCAATATTGGGGACATAAACATCGACGTAAATTACTGTCTACCAACTTTGGCTAGCAGCCAGCTCTCACCACAATGTAACCATAAGGTCCTGGGTTCCACCCCCGGCGGTAGACACGTATCCTTCTTACTGTTAAACTCCTCACCGTTTTGTCCACTTCTAATGGCCTTTCGTATCTTCATAAATATGCAAACGTCTACATAAACGCAAAAGAGTGAGGAAACTATTTAAGTGAAGTGGTGAATGGTAGTATAGAGAAGCGTTAGCCAGACAGATGGCTACACTGTGTTTTTATGGCGAAATACTTTGTTTACCATCTGTGAAAATACAGTTGATCAGAGATTACAGACGATAATGCAAAGTAGCCCAAAAGTACAAGCGTATTCTCTTTATCATACCTATTAACGATATATATCACTGTGGTGGTGTTGTGATACAGACAGTCTGTTCCAATGGAGTACTTTTCCCACAGTTCAGTACTGCATTAGCAACAGAATAGTATGTATATTTGAACATTCTGTTTCACGTCGTTTAATGTAAACCAAAATCACACGCTCGGTGAGTGAATGGTTAAAGAATGTAAACTGTATAGATATAAATAGCGGGTTCATCAGTTAAAAATATACCTTGGCTTCTATGTCTTGCCTTCTGCTGTTAATCATGACTTTGTCTACTGCTTGCAAGTTTCAACAATCGAGTCGTCATACTTGCTTGGTAATAATTTGTCAGCTGTAACTTGTGAACAAGTTAATAGGGCCTACTTTTGAAAATGCAACAGTTAAAACCACATGATTTCTGTGTTATAGAATTAAGCAAAACACAAGCTACATAAAAGTTAATTATTTGTATTAAGGTGGTGGTGCATCGGTGGTTCAGCCGTAGAACGCTGACCAACCACACACGTGGTCTGGGGTTCGATCCCCTACCGACGCATTCCTAAGCCTCGGTAAAGGAGAAGGTTGGACCAATACTGCCGAAATTTCAAAGCTCTAGCTTGAAGTCCTGTATCTCCCTCGGAATGCAAAGGAATTAAATAAAACAATAATGATAAAAGATAGTTGAAGTAGTTAGTAACCTGCTTAATTATATACCGGCGTAGTGAACCTGTATTTACGCAATAATTCAACACAAATCGCAGCTCCACAAAGTCTACAACTATCAATATTTAAATCACAAAATTTTGCTTGTCAGCAATTTTCTTAACGGTAAAGGAAATAGTACAAAGGTTCCTATCAGTCTAATCTATTACATATAATTTACTATATATATGCGGGAAGTGTCACACAAACTCAAAGATTTACACAAGTGAAAAGCGAACAAATTGGCAGGCGCATCAGGCTGTGAAGACGGAACTCCAAATGAGAAACAAAGGTGGTTGACAGCAAGCCTAATTCACCACCATCAACGGGAGGGGTGTATAGGAAGTCATCTCTTTCATTTATCTCACCTTGAAGTCAACCGTTTCAACGACAGGCAGTCGTCATATATGATGAGGATGTCATACCTAGACTTTCATTATTGTGAAATTTTCAAGTATTGGTTTGTAGTGATTTTGATTGATTGGCTACAGGATTTCATCATGAGCTGACATTGGTTAGAGAACCATTGGAAAACCTGGGAGTATTTGACAGCTGTTTCGTCCCAGTTTGGGACTCTTCATCAGTACGCGCCACCACAAGAGGTCAAACCCAGGGCCTTCTGGTTACAAGGCTAGCGAGCTCGTAGACCATTAAGCCACTGGGACCCGACGCAATGGCCCACGAATTCTAACTTCTGCCAATTCACGATATAGCGCAACCACTAGCCAATGTCTTCGGCGAGTATTTGTCTTCACACCCGACCTGCTGCACCCTACTGGTCATGACCTACCAGTAGAGCCCCAGGTAACTACCTATCTGAATAGTTCCAGTCGCCAGTGAGCATCTCATTGATTTTCAAGTATTCGTTTGTAGGGATTTTGATTGATTGGTTACAGGGCTTCATCATGAGCTGACATTGGTTATAGAACCATTTGAAATGAAATCTGCTACACTCAGGATAATGAACAAGATTCGAATTTTCAACACTAATTTCAAATGTCGGCGCTTCTGTATGGTTCAGAGAACTGGAGCATGACGAAAAGCATTTCCAACAGATTGCAGACTTCCATCAACAAAGAGCCCCCGTTGGATACTGAAGATTATATGGCCTACCAGAACGGATAAGCAATAAGGAACTTTATTGAGCAAGAACATATTACCCAAAGAATATGCAGAAGAGAATGGATATTAGAAATACGCTGAAACCAATGAGTGACGCAACGCATCATACCCCCGAGTGGAACCCAAATGGGAAACGAGTCAAGCGCCTGAGGACAAAATGGAGATCTTGTGAAGAAACCAGAGCTTATGGACGATCATAAAGCCAGGTAATATAAAGATTGCACAGAATAGGGTGGTATGCCGATGTGCTGCTGGAGCCGTATCCAAGGGAACAATTATATCGGAAAATGTACCATAGCGGTCAACCGATAAAGAACGCCATTCCGGTTTCTATCAGTAACTTGTGTGATTCAACGCAGATTAAATCGAAAGTGTTCTGAGTGGCCCTGTTAACATAATGACCTACTCGACGCTTAAAATTTTCTACAGAAAACTGCAGTCCCATGTTTAATAAAAAAATACCTGACATTGATTCACAGCTCGCTTGTACTACTGCATACTTATTAGAATCCACAGAAATTGAGTACCATCACCTAGCAACTAATTGCAGTCATACATCACATGTTAAAGTGACTTCTTCAAAAATTTACGAATGCACAGCACAATTCATTTAAAAAGTTAACTAATATATTTATAAATTTACACACTTCACAATTACATGACTTCATATAATAATTACCCAAGTCTACTGACCGTTCATTAAGAATAAAACTAAACGTACATCACCGTGATGTGATGGCAATGTCACAATGGGATGCATTGACTGGAACGAATCGTTTCTGTACATCTTACTATGACAGATAAGTCATTTGGATAACTGCTATACTGGAAGCAATTGCCATCCTATATTGTGTAAGTCATTCATACTATGTTGAAGGTTTGGAGATGAGGTCGTACTGCTGACCAAAAGAGGTATAAAACTAAGCCCGTCATTATGTTGTCCTCCTGGCATAGCAAGGAGGGTTTAGAAAATGTCAATCCCAAATAATTCTACATCCCAATCTACCTTGCGAAGGTAGGGTCTTTTTCATTATTTTATTATTGCTAGCCTCATGTCCAACCATCCCTCTCTACCGGTTTACCGAGGTTTAGGAGTGCGTCAACCGGAGATCGAACCCCAGACCACACGCGTGGTTGGCGAGCGTTCTACCCCTGAACCACAGATGCGCCGGCAAGGTCTTTACACACACACAACTCCAAACACGCCTCAACTATTATTCCCTGGACTCAGTAATCACGTAATGCCTTATACTCTTTCTATTTCAGATATTTTAACGAGAAACCAGCTTTCATAGGCATTGGTAGTCGGGAAGCTGCAACCATCCACACATACAGTACCTTTTTCTGATTCCATTTACTTTCAGAGTGTATGTAACACAGGACTTCATACTCGACCTTTGAAGTTTCAGTAGCGGTGTTGATTTTTTCAGGGAGTTGGGTTGCTATCCCTTCATCACACTCATCGTCACCACCTTACCGAGTTTACTTGAGAACTAAGCGAGCGAGGTTTAGAAGTAGTGCGTCGGCTGAGAATCGAACTTCAACCACATGGGGATTTGGTTGGCAAGCATTCACCCTACACCACTGGATCTTTGTTATCTTCATCATGAAAAAGAAGACGAAGTTCTCTCTTGTAGAAAAAAACCCACACCAATTATGTATATATTTTCTTTAAGCAAATACCTATTTCACTTACAAAATCATTAAAAACAGTTTGTGTATTTTTATGTATGTATGTACGGATGGATGGAGGTACGTACGCACGTATTCATAGAAATCACTTCAGAAAAAAAAATACACACAGTTATAAAGTAAAGTTCAAGGGTAAAACTAGAAAAACTGGAAATCATAAGGAGAACACAGAGCCATATTGACCAGCGAGAGAAAGAGAGACGGAGGGAAAGAAAGATCAGTTGACTGACTGAGGCGAATACACGACAGTATGTAGAGGGGGAGACACTCACTAGCATTAATCCAACACGCAAACACATACACATGCTGCTTTGCAAAGTCTGTTTGAGAACAGTAATAATAATAATAATACTTGTAGTAATAGCAAAAATTATGCCATCAGGAGAAAATATGAAAGAAAACAATGATGAGAATGTACAAGAGAGAAGTAAAGCAAAAAGGTTATATAATGTAAGGTGGTGTGGTATGACATCAATGTACTGCAAAATGTACCGCAGAATAGTTCAAACAAGATGAACTTTTGACGAAGAGTGGTTGGTTTTATTCTTATCATTGTTTTCGGGCTCTGTCTCTCTGGGTAAGATTGGTTAGCTGGATATTGGCTTTATATTCACGAGTATTACACACATCACAGAAAATAAAGTTTCACTCTTATTTATCTCGTTTTCTTATTATTTTTTTTAGAAAAAATGACACCTAGTTAGGTAATGGTAATAGTAATAATAATAATAATAAAAGTAGAATAGTACATAAGAGAGCTGATCATACATAGATGAGAAAACATTACATAAAATCATCATATTCATCGGCGACAGCATCATCATCTCCTCCATAGTTGTAGTCGTTCTCTCTTTCAACCAACAGCTTGCCTTTTGCCTTCTTCTTTGTTTTACCCTATATGAAAAACACAAAAAAACAAAAAGGAGGTGGGAAAATGAACTGTAACTCAACAACCAGTAGAGAAGAAATTTAAGTGAGGGAATGAAATCCTTCAGAAATACACTCTACACAAAAAGTAGATATATCCAACTCTACAGAAGACGGATGTGTCAAAGAAACAATCACAGTGTAGTTCTCCGAAGTCGCCTGTGGCGAGAGAGCAATTTAAAAAACACGTTTTTTGCTGCATCTCTTTACGCCACACTCACATGTTCTTGTTCATCAAAGAAAAGGTCAAAGACAAGAGATCCCGCTGTTGGCAGCATAGGCGGTACCAGCAGGACATTGTCTAGACGCATCAACGAACATTTATCCGCATGACTGTCAACAGGAGAACGCAGTACAATCAATAACTTCTAGTCATGTAGCAGAGACTTTATTCAGAGTCGTATATATAAAAGTAAGATGAAGCCACTCATGCAACCGAAGCTTTAGGAATCTATTATGCAAAACCTGAAATTTGTATTCAGAAATATGTAATCCAAGTTCATTTACTAGTACCATAGCTAATCTTTTCTTTTCCTGTTTCCTAATAATTTTTACCAAATGACTATTCATCGCTTAACTTATTAGTTGTCAACTCTGTAGATTATATAAGATTATCAACATTTTTTAAACATTGATATTGCCCATACGCTTTGGCTTATTTTGTTGCCAACTGATATATATATATATATATATATATATATATATAAACACCCTAAATAGCTGTACAGTTTTGAAGTTACGAAAAGAGATGCCTTTTTCGCCAACTTATGTGTTCGTAGTTGTAATTCCACACAGTTAGTAACGAGCCACACGCCTATTGCGTGTGTCTCAGGGTTGGTGCAACAATTACGTAAACTTCCCAAACCTCGTTGGTAGGGGTAAGTGAAGAAGCATGGGGTTCGAACCCATCACGCACACAACACACACTGGTTGAAAGTCGAGCACCCAAGAGATCGATTTCATTACAGATTTATGTATACTGCCGTGATTACCAGATAAGGAGATTAATGTATGGAAACTTACAGAGGCATTTTTACATGTACAAATCTTATTCATGTGAGGCAAAATTATAAGTACAAATAAAGTGTAAGTGATTGGGGGCGTGGAATAAAACACACTACTACACCATCTCTATTAACCTTCTAACCTCTTGCTTTCCTTTCTTATATTACTCTACGTAGCCAGTTTTACTACATAATTCACCGTTAACGATTCGTCAATAGGGTAGAAAACTTCGAAGTTAAACGAAGGAATAAAATCAAGTCTTGTTTATGCATTTATGAACTAGGCAGACAAGTTGGAAGTTGTACAACATAAAAAACACAACTGATCATTTTTTCCAAAGAACACAGAGTAGAGAGTAAACACATATACCGTTAAAATCACTCCCTTGAGTTCCGACTGAATCATAAGCCTTCAAGCGTGAGTCTAGAAGTTTCAGAAGCAGGAGCGTTTCTTTTACCAATCCCACACCCAATCCTACCCCTTTAACAGGTTTACTGTCAGTTAAGTGAGGTTTAGAAGTGCACCGGTCGAGAATCGAACCTCCACCCATTGTGCGGTTGGGGAGCATTCCACCACTAAACCACCCAAAGAACAATCATCAGTGTACAACGGTCACAAACTACCGATGACACTGTTTTTAACTAGACATATTGTCTTCGTTGAAAACACGCATCAAGAGAACTGCGGTTGGATGTTACTATTGAATCTCAACTCCTCAGCATAGCTTTTTTATGTGTAGAGCCATGAGTCACCCTTAATGTGTGAAGACTAGTGACATTGCCCAGTTGCCAGCGATGCTGAATTAGGTGGAGCGGGATTTGAAATCGGGACACATTGGCTGGAGAAAGTCGACTGCTTACACACCTTTGAACCAATTCTTCACTGTTGTACGTAAATATCTATCTTTATTTTAAAGAAAAACTAGCTGACATATTTCATACTATATATGATTTATCATGATACATTGTGCAAGAGCAACATGGTTATAAACAATACATTTTCTTCAAATGACCTATACACAGGATGGTGGAGGTAAGTCGGTAGAGGCTGCTACCTCTGAGATATACCGAACAGAGTTAAACTCAAGGCTATCTTGTAACCCCACTCAATAGAACAGACGGATGAAATCTCCAACCGGATAGTGGAAGCCAGAATGACATACGCTAACCTGGGCCACCATTGACACCACCACGATGTCAGCTTGGCTGACAAAGCGCAATCTTGCTCTACACGCCTGAGAAACCTGCCCTCTTCTAACTGACGGTGTGCGGCTGCTGTGAGCTCTCGATCGCTGCCTTCACAGAAACGTTGTGCCCGATGGCATCGTACCGTAAGTAATTCTGAGGTCCTGAAGCGTGCGTTTGGACACAGTGGAGTTCACCCTACATTGTTTGTGGTCATCCTAAAACACCGGCTTCGGTAGTTCATATATATGCTACAAATGTCATCCTAGAAGCTCTCATACCACTCGCTATTCGCAAGCACTGGGGAATGCATAGAGAACGTGAAGAGATGGTCAACCTATGACGTGTCACCGTGAGATGATGGATATGCGGTAAGTCAGCAACCATTGGTGCATCACAATTCCTCAGATGGCGACCGAAAGATAATTTGAGTCGGTGACTCGAGATGTTATCAGATATAGCCAAGAACTGCAATCAATGGTGCTGAGCATGCTGCAATTTCTCTCTTTCTTTCCTTTCTAAAAGTAACATGAAATAATGAAGCATCCGTTGAACGATCTTGACAAGTAGGCTTCCTTACTTACTTTCTGCATAAGCTACCTCATTTTCCTATCCCTACTTTCCCTACATAGCGTTGTTTTACTACTTTTGTGTGGCGCCTCTTTTGGTGCCCACAATGTCCTCAATTTATGTTTTAATAATAATAATAATCAGTTTACAATAATGCATCACTGTGTGCTTAATCAAGAAATCAAAGAAATTATTGAATTTCACTACTCAGAAGGTGATGAAGATAATCAATAAAAAAAACAAGCACCAATCACTATAAACAGAAGAAATTTGAAAGAGATCACTCCTTCCAATTGTCAAGGCAGCATCGTTTCAACTACAGGGGAGGTACGGATGGAGCTATCAAAGGCAGTCACAATCGTAAAGGCAAGATAAACCTTCATTATTCTAAAATCAACATATGGAACACAATTTAGTTCAGGTTTTTAACACTAATGTTGAACCAGTTAAGTCTTCTATTTGGACGAGAAACTTGGCGTGTCATACGGAAAGCATTTCCAGAAAGCTACTGCAGACTTTCATCAACAGCTACCTTCGATGAAGCTCCCTACTGAAGATTAGATGACCAGCCAGAAAGAATTAGCAACAAGGAACTCTATAGGGACGAATCAATCAAGGACCAATTGCTTAACATGTGTGCGGAAGAAAATGTAGAGGAGTCGGATACACGCCACCGAGGAGACCGTTGCGTTGCCAAGCCATCGGGTGGTTAATCAAATAGGAACGAAGTGAGCGTCCGAGTGTAACTTGGGGAACATGAAAGGAGAGGAGGAGGGCCTATGGGTAATCATGGAGGACTGCAGAGAACAGGGCCTATGCTATACTCGGAACCCGAGGGAACAACAGTAATAATACTATTATAATACTCGGGAAAAAAGCATAAAGACAGCAATTCATCACAAGAACTCACCTTAACCAACTTCTGTTTCTCACTTATCAATGCACTGATAACAGTATTGACGGAACGTAGTGTGTCGATTTCCACTTAAAGACAAAACAGATGATATTAGGGGGAAAACAAATTCACTTACTTTCAACAGTAAGATCACGGATTAAACTTTCTGCAAATGCACTGTAATGTGGAGATTTCTAGCAACAACAAACAACAACAAAAATGACGAAATGTTCACAATCCTACCTGTATACTTGTAATTTTAGCCACAAGTAATTCATGCAAACGATTAAATTCCTCCTTAGTTGTTGGACAACATGAATCAATAGTTTCTTTATTAACTTCTTGAACAGGGCTAGGACCTATTGTAAAAGCAAACAAGAAACAAAAAAAGTCAGATTAGTGAACCATTCACACACACAACACTACTAACCAAAAGTATCTTTCAATAGGCCAAGTTCTGCCTCTTCAGCAAGTTTTTCACGTTGAAGTTCTGTTGCAGGCTGAGATTGTTTTAATTCTTCTTCTTGTTTTCGGAGTTTCTCTTCTCTTTCTTTTCGTTTTTGTTCCTCTTTCAATTTTATACGTTCAGCTAGTGATAGTTTAGGCGGTGCTTGACTAGCAGGTTTCGATGTTGTCTTGTTGGCTGGCTCTGCATCCCAGGATTCCTTGAATAACAAGGGAAAGATAGTAAACATATTGAGAGAAGGAATGAAAACACTTATTTAGTTTACTGAAACACAAACTAGATAGGTAATGGACACCAAGAAAAACGACAAACAAAATTTCATAGAATACGAAGGGAAGTATTGGTGCATATTATACTGACATTAGAATCGAGACTTTAACAGCGTATTTATACTAGCTAACTGTGAACCTGATGAATGAACTGATGTACAATAACGATCGGAAGTATCACCGGGAGTTTTTGAAGCGGCCAAAGTCTCTGTTATACTAAGTTAACGCCAGGGAACAAAGTAAAAATGTTTGTAAGTTTAGTTTCACCAAAACGCCGCCATCCATACCAGTCAGTGTTGTACCGCGAGTCATACGACAACAAAAGGTACTAAGAATCAAAGCAGTATTTAGGTCCAGACGAAGGTGTGTAGAACAAGACTTAAGCCTTCCTGCATTACTGGGATGGGTACGTATTCAAGCGAATTTGATATATGAAGGAGTCCACAAACCCACCATGACTTCTCGATGTCACAAGGAACAAAAAGCCATGAGACACGAAAATGGAACAAATGCTCCCCAATTCATGGTAAATTAAGGATATTTCGCTTTCTGAATAAGAAACACACTGGGCAAAAGTGGACGCAAAGAATTTCAACTATTAGCAAAATTCCAGAAATTCTACAGAAAGAATGCAATATTTAGTAGATAATTCTGAGCAAACAACCGTGATCACGTTAAATTATCACCATTCATAACACACAGAGAAATACAAAAACAAAGTTTATTAATCATTCCATGCCAAAGGAATACGTAAAAATATCAAACGATAATGAATAAGCTACAAAAAAGATTCTTGCATTCAATCGCCATATCCACTTAAGGGTCTAACGGATGACTTTATCCACCCCCGATTCCTAGGTATTAATATTATTAGATGTCATTCATATTAGGTACTTCCAATACCCCGAACTTCAATTCTTCCTCTCCTATTGCCACAAGAAGGATGAAAACCGTCTTTAACCAGTAGGAACAATTGTAACATTTTGTATACTTGTTTTGGACTGCCATCTAACGAGACTATCAATGAGCTTTTGACTCTTAATAGGAAATTACTCAGTAAGTACCTCAAAGCAATCATTAATTTCAAGATGTGACGATAGAATACGCCAAACTGTGTACGAAAATCTCATTCATTGTGAGTAGTAACAGCAAATCTCGATGACAAACACATCTTTCGGCCAACAGAGACCACAAGCTGGAGTTCCCAGATGACAATGAGAATCACTTAGAAGAGCCTTTAAGAGACCACAACTATGAAGGGATATTTGTGAGTTCGCCTACTAAATTACCAACCTCTATAGACAGTCGAAATTGTTAGCTGCCTTCTAAGTGATCCCAAGTTATGATGCACAGTGTTCTGAAACCTGAACTGGGCTTGGAGTTCACATTTCTGGGGACCATGACTAAGTCCAGCATTATGACCTTTACTTTCCATAACGCAATCAGAAGTTAGGTTCTTCTGTGAAATTATTTTTTATATAGCTTAAACTATAGCGGAGTTCTCACTCAAACTTATGTCGTCTAAAGAGGTGGAGACGTGATGGACAAAGCCACTCAGTCGTACTTCCACAATTTGGAAGATCACGTCCAGAGGCGCATGGAGAGGAAAGGAATTCAGGCAATATTGGAAAACACATAGACGTAATTTTAAACTTTACGTTTAACGCAACATTCAACAATAATAACAATAGTATTAATGACAATTTTATACTTTATTTTCAAATAGAAAGCTAGTGACTTGTTAATGTAAACTCAATGACTCTCGAAAGTATAAGACATTGTAAGTGCAACATGATAGTTGCAATTATGCCTATAGTAGTTGTTTTATAGTGCATCGTATATGCCGGTTGTTTCGGAAGTACAGTTAGTAAGTGCTTAACTAGTGCTTACCAGCACTTAACTGGGGCTTTAAGCTCTGAAATGACGCTGAGATGCTAGTTAGCGCTGACCTATTCAGGGTGAAGCTGAAAAATGATAATGCCAAATTAGTATAATGTGGAAAAACAGCATACTTTGTCCATAATTTCGAGTCAGTTCACAACCACTCCAGAATATACTCAGTGGACTTAAATCTTTAGATCAAACTTTGCAACAGTTCGACCAGCGTTAATCTGAGCTTGGAATGGGTACAGCAACACGTTTAGCGATGACGACAACAATTGCAATAGGATAGGTATGGAAAACACTTAGGAATAATGAGAAATTACGTCGTTCCCTGCAGTCGTTAACTGTTGACTCGAGTAGCTGGAACGACTGGCCAAAGTTCCAGGAGGCTATAAATCGAACCTCAAGGAGGCTTCGTTACATTGCCGAAATCGCTCGCAAGGTAACAGATACATCTAATTGCTATCATCTTTCATTATCAAGTTCAGGATATCTTGGAAGAATTTAACTGCCAAAACTTATAACAATTTTAAACCAATCCTGAACTAAACGTCGATTATGTTGTTTTATGGTAAATGAATTTTTGTGTGCCTAGAAAGAACTAAGTAATGCACCGAAGTAATGCTGGTAGTGCTTAATAATAGCCCTAGACGCCCAAGTAATGCGATCTGTGCTGAAACAATGCTAGTCAGTACTGAGCTGGCGTTGAGGGAGCTCAAATGATGCTGAAAAACAAACCCAGCAGGTTCTGGACTACTGCTGATAATGCCGAAAAGAACAGAGTACTGGACTAGAGCCAGTCGTACTGGGAAAAAGCACCGAGTTCTGCTTTGCGCAGAAAATCAAATCATTTCAGAATTTACCCACTATTGAAAAAAGGCGTTAGTTGAGGATTTACAAGATTCACTTCAGCATTATTATTAGCTTGGGTGACAGCTCGATCACCGATTAGACAAATACTGACTAAGACGGAAACTCCTCTGGAATACTACTGTGTAATCGTGACTAGTTATGCAGTCTACTAGTGTTCATGAAGAGAATACAAGGAAAACGAACAGGATTAAAAGACTTACAGGGATAGCATCATCGTCGTCATCGTCCCAGGAGGTTTTAATCTGCTTAGCTACAATGTCGTTTTGGTCTTCGTCGTCTAGAGGAGATTAAATACCAAAAAGTGATCAGTTTACTAACCCCAGTCGCCCATGTTAAACGGTTACACGCACTTATCACGCCTGAATCCACAAACAAAAACCGCGCGTGTCTCAAGGTCGTCAGTGGAATTAACAGTCTACATGAGGCAAGTGACACCGGGTTTAGCAGCATGTGCTAATCCTCGCAGTATACATCTCTGTCATTATACAGTCTCCTTTAAAGCATTCACTGAATAAGCTGGTATCACTGGTTCTAGCAGTCGATTCCAGTCGATGACCAGCCTCTGAGACGATTTGGGTCATTTCCCAATATCCTTGTGACAGTCCTATACATACCTGCAAATTTCTCAGCACTCAATTCCTAATGTTTTTGAATGGTTTCAGGCCTTTAGCAGATTCCTGTGCAGGAGAATTACCCCTGTTGACTAACATGTTTCCCCTGAACATAGTAAGAGGAGAGGCATTAATCTATTTTGAAGAGAATGTACGGTCTGACACTGATTGGACTTTCAAGTGTAGAATCACCAGACGATTATCCAGATAAGCCAGAAACCTCTAGAAACTGTAGTAGTAAGACAGTAGAAAGGGAATCTGGAGAATGAGTAGAAAAAGCTAACTCAGCATAGGACAATGGGATTGAATATGAAACTGATGGTAATAATAATATATCTTCATATAAACAGGAACATTTAATGAATAAAATATACGATGTTAAAAAATATCCGATAACCTTTGGCTACATCTGAGAAGGACTAACTTAAGCTTTAGGCTGAGGACAAGTTGGGGTTAGGTCAACTTGATAAGGGAGATAGCAAGGTTGGTTCAAGTTGAAGGCCATTCGCCCGCTGCTTAATTTCGGTGCTTGAAGCTTTAATTGGCTGTATAGCTCCTTCTTGTATATCAATTGTAGATGTACTTTTAACTGTATATTGCCCTTACTTGTGTCTTGTTCCATTTACAGTTTCTCAGAATGTTCTTTTCTCCCTGAGATGCCTTCTAATCACATGTGGATACGGTGTGCTGCTATATTTTGACTAAACTAACATACACGTATATCGTAGTACTTCCTCGCGTTTATAATTGTGTGCTAACGTTGTGATTACTCGACGTCCACAACGTAATTCAAAAGGCACTTGCGAAGGAATACGATAGAGTATTATTGCAGCAATCAAAATTCAAAAATCGAGCGAGTACAAAAGGTATCAATTGTTAACATGCAAGATTTAGAGTAATAAACAAATCAAAGTACAATTACATAGTGAAAGTATAGTACAATGATGAGTAATAAAACGGGTCACTACAATGGCACTTACCTCAATATTGGATACTCATTGTTTGACCACAACCACCCTCACAAAACTAAAAAAGGAAGTTTGGGTTGCTGATAAAACTGGATGTCGATCTCGGTAACGGCTTTACAATTTAACATCTACATTGACCAGTTCTGATCGCTTATATTATAATGCAAATATATAAGCAGTAGAAACAGTATTAATTTATAGACATTTTAAGATCAGTATTCATATTCAATTTGATCGTGCCTGTAAAAATGGTATGCATTTCACTTAAATGTTCTTGTTTATATGAAGATATATTATTATTACCATCAGTTTCATATTCAATCCCATTGTCCTATGCTGAGTTAGCTTTTTCTACTCATTCTCCAGATTCCCTTTCTACTGTCTTACTACTACAGTTTCTAGAGGTTTCTGGCTTATCTGGATAATCGTCTGGTGATTCTACACTTGAAAGTCCAATCAGTGTCAGACCGTACATTCTCTTCAAAATAGATTAATGCCTCTCCTCTTACTATGTTCAGGGGAAACATGTTAGTCAACAGGGGTAATTCTCCTGTACAGGAATCTGCTAAAGGCCTGAAACCATTCAAAAACATTAGGAATTGAGTGCTGAGAAATTTGCAGGTATGTATAGGACTGTCACAAGGATATTGGGAAATGACCCAAATCGTCTCAGAGGCTGGTCATCGACTGGAATCGACTGCTAGAACCAGTGATACCAGCTTATTCAGTGAATGCTTTAAAGGAGACTGTATAATGACAGAGATGTATACTGCGAGGATTAGCACATGCTGCTAAACCCGGTGTCACTTGCCTCATGTAGACTGTTAATTCCACTGACGACCTTGAGACACGCGCGGTTTTTGTTTGTGGATTCAGGCGTGATAAGTGCGTGTAACCGTTTAACATGGGCGACTGGGGTTAGTAAACTGATCACTTTTTGGTATTTAATCTCCTCTAGACGACGAAGACCAAAACGACATTGTAGCTAAGCAGATTAAAACCTCCTGGGACGATGACGACGATGATGCTATCCCTGTAAGTCTTTTAATCCTGTTCGTTTTCCTTGTATTCTCTTCATGAACACTAGTAGACTGCATAACTAGTCACGATTACACAGTAGTATTCCAGAGGAGTTTCCGTCTTAGTCAGTATTTGTCTAATCGGTGATCGAGCTGTCACCCAAGCTAATAATAATGCTGAAGTGAATCTTGTAAATCCTCAACTAACGCCTTTTTTCAATAGTGGATAAATTCTGAAATGATTTGATTTTCTGCGCAAAACAGAACTCGGTGCTTTTTCCCAGTACGACTGGCTCTAGTTCAGTACTCTGTTCTTTTCGGCATTATCAGCAGTAGTCCAGAACCTGCTGGGTTTGTTTCTCAGCATCATTTGAGCTCCCTCAACGCCAGCTCAGCACTGACTAGCATTGTTTCAGCACAGATCGCATTGCTTGGGCGTCTAGGGCTATTATTAAGCACTACCAGCATTACTTCGGTGCATTACTTAGTTCTTTCTAGGCACACAAAAATTCATTTACCATAAAACAACATAATCGACGTTTAGTTCAGGATTGGTTTAAAATTGTTATAAGCTTGGGCAATTAAATCCTCCGAAGATATCCTAAACTTGGGAGCGGTAGTTAATATGTGTATATGTGACTTTCTGCGTGTTATTGATGATGGAATGCTTGTGCTTGTCAACCGAATCTTTTATTCCTTTAGCTAGGACGAAAGAATGATATCAGTGGGGAAGTAGGCGGACAACACGGGGCTGGACTTATCCGGCATGTTGGTTGAAATTTCGCTCGGCAAATTTTTTTTGTGAATAATAATTTTTAATAAAATTTTGTTATATGTTTTCTGGACTGATAGGAATTCTCATCTCCTGGCTAGTTATGTTGGTGTCTGCGTCATTTAATCTGACTGCGACACACTTAGGATATTGGTTGTAATGATTAGTGTTTCATGCTGAATGCGTCAAAACATCTCTACAATGAAGAAGATGGGGTAGTTGGGGGTAATGTCATCTACACAAATAGTTTATTTCTTGTAGAAGCTGCAGCTTTCGATATAGTGTCATTCAATGAAGACTACGTCAAAATGTGGCTATTGTCGTGTGAAGAACAGTACTATTTTACAAAAGAATGCTATCAGTACATGGGAATCACCTATAAATGCCAACAGAACATAAAACCAATGTGTAAACGAATGGCTGCGGAACTGCAATCCAACATAACCGACTAACATGAATGTAAATGACCTTTGAGCGTATCACTCCATCAATGACCTTGAGCATGCGGGATAATTTCAGCCCAACACGGCGATCAATTTCAATTTCCATTCCACATTCACGGACGTAATCGCAATAAAGTGGTCAGCGGCTAAACTTAATTGGCCTGGTGGCAGTCAGGCTTCGCATCAAAACTTTCATATCCGTAAAATTTCGTGAGTACCATTGTTCTTGCGATATGCATTGGTGCCTAACTTTCTTAATACTTGAGACATAGTTATTCTTTCTTGCAGAGTAATCTGTTCTCACTGACTTGCTGTGTATGTGTTCTGGTTTTTTTGCTCGGTACCTGCTGTCAGTAGTAGTGCGTACTTAGTGTTCGGTACTTTGTCATTATTTATTGTTACTGTTTCTCCATGTCGAACCAGAATCGTTGCTGCTAAGCCTCCCCATTTGTATTTATTCGTGCCTTAGATTTTCTTCTTATGGCTATTGGTATCCATTTTGACTACCACCACCTTTTGTTGTCATCAGTGTATCTTTGATAGTCAGATTACTATGAACGGCGTTATAAATTTCACACGTACATCTTCCGTTTACTGCATTGTGTAATTTCTTCCCTCAGTTTCGTTACAACTGTATTCTTTCAAATAATTTACCTCAACTCTCAAGCTTTTGTTCCATTTCTCAGATCGTATTATTACTCCTGAAGAGCTAATGAGTAGTCATGATAATATCCTGGTTGGATACAATAGTAAATGTCGTAAGGGGTTTTTGAAGCTGCACTCCACCTTGGTTCTGCTCCTACCACTTACTTAATGTATCCGTATTTACTTTTCTTGAGTATGTTAACAATAAAATTGCTATTATTAACTATCTAAAGAAAGATTAAATATCTTGTTGAGATATCATCATGAAAAAACATTTTGCTATGTTCATTTATGTTGTATTTAACAACACGCCTGTACACGAATTTTCTCTCAAATATTGGACTCCGAATTGTCTTTCTAGAGTGGGAAGGTGTTTTTTAAGATGTTCACAAACATATATGGCTGTTGTTTACCCCTTTGCCAACAAGTATGGAAATTATTATGCAGTAATACTCTACAGACAAATTACGTGATATAAGCAATTTTCATAAGACAGTTGAGACTAACATTCAACGGAGATGGTAGCTATCATTGGCTAGGATGTGTAAGTATCTTTACGGTTATTTACCTGAAACCGTCTCCGTGTATTTTATCATCAGTGATGGTGGTCGTATTGTCGAGGACCCGTTACTTGAATAAAACTTACTAAAAGTGAATAACGTGTAACTGATAAAAGAAAAGCTATGTTTTTATGCAGCTGGTGAAAGTACCTACCAGCTCCGTCTGGCATACGTCTTGATGTCAGTAATTTATTAGCAAGCAGAAGCGTATTTGACAGAAGACAATGGTATACGCTGCATACTGAGAGTAGTAGGCCAAACTGTCAAATTAAAGAGAACTTCTCCTGGCAGCAGTAGAACCGGCAAAGTTGCACTTTTGTTAAAGACGCTGCCTATGGACTGGTTGTCCAATATCACAGCGAAGACTGACAGACTATGGATCATATCTCTCTCTTTGGAACCAACTACCATCTGAAATTCGATCTTGTGAAAACCCGATGGGCTCAAACGGAGCTTAGGAAGACTCATTAGCATATCCACTCCGGCGCGTCTGAAAAACCACAGCTGTTGGCAGAATGATAAACGAAAGACAGTGCAGCCTTCAGTGGACTCTACAACTCTACAACTTATG